ATTGTTTTTTTTGGTGAAAATGAAGGTGCTTTTTAAAAATCCAAAACTTAAGGAGAGTTTTTGTAGTTTGAAAGTTAAGCTAGTTATGCCGAGAGAGTTTTGTGTATGTTTGAAAGCTTAAGCTAGTTACTCAAGAAATTCACAAACTTAAGGGAAGTTTTTTTTTTTTTTGGGGGGGGGGGGGGTGGAGGGAGGCGTTTTTGAAATTTATCCACTAGAATATAAACCTCACATTTCAATTGAAATTTACAACCTGAAAACTATTTACTAGTAGCATATATTAGAAAATATTTATTTGATAGTATTACTAATAATGTGAATATGGTACTTTCTTTCAAAGTGTAAAAACTCATTGTGGGCAATTGTATGTTTTTTTAAATTATTAACTATGTAGTGATGCCACTTTTTTAGAAATCTTGAATACGCCACCGAATTCACTAGTTGCTCAATCTTTTTAATTCTCTCTTTTCTTAATGGGTACATTTAATGCACTAGATACTTTCTCCTTTAGGTCTCCTTAGATAAATCTTTCCAATATTAGACCCTCAAATCTCATATTTTGAAAATAGTCCCCATATCTTTATAATTTGCAATTAATCTTTCAAGTTTTGTAATTGTTCTGAAATTAGTTTCTTTATTACATTTATCATTCAAATTGTTAACTACTATTTTAAGTTAGTGGTTAAGCAATAATCATAGCTACCAAATTATTCTCAAAAAATAAATTCCACAACCAAACTTCAGATGGTCGTGTACAATTGATATTACTCCTGCAACAACAACAACAACAACAACAACAATAACAATAAATCGGCTACATGAATCCTATTCAATTTTATTCTATTCTATTATGAGACATCTCCTCCATTACGTTAAACATAATCATATCATTATTAATTAATTCTAACCAAAATATTTTACGTCTACCTCTAGATCTTCTAGCCTCATTAACTATAATGTTATCACATTTTCTAGCTAGTACACTAAGAGGTCTCTGTTGTACATAACCAAACCATCTTAGTCGATTCTCTCTCATTTTATCCTCAATAAAAGCAACTCTAATTTACTATAGATGCACTCATTTCTTGTCCTATTTTTTAGTGCATACCCACAAGACCATCGCAATATTCTCATTTCTGTTATACTCATTTTTTACACATGTTATTTTTTAATTACGCAATACTCTAACCCATAAAGCATTGCTGGTCTTATGACCATCCTATAGAATTTTTCTTTTAGTTTCATTCATATTCAACAATTATATAAGACTCCCAAAGCACTCCTCCATTTCGACCATCCTGATTTGATTCGATAATAGCATCACCATCAATCTCACCATCATATTGAATGACTGATCCTAAATAGCTCTAATTACTTTTAGATATTTTTGACCATTAATATGTATTATAGGCTATTTTACTTTCTTAGTTTTACTGAGAATGCACTCTATATATTCTATTTTTATTCTATTGATTCTAAAACATTTAGATTCATGAGCTTGTCTCCACTTTTCTACTTTAGAAATTATACATCTTCTAGTTTTGTCAACTAACATTATATCATTCGTAAATAACATACACCATAGGATTTCATCATGTATGTGCCTGGTAAGTTGGTCAATAACTAATAAATAAAGATAAGGACTTAAGGCTAACAATTGGTGTAAATCGATGGTAATAGGAAATGGTTTAGTCTCTCATTCATTAGTTCTTATTCTATCATACATATATTTAATCACATCAATATATATATATATATATATATTTTAGTTGCATGTTTCCATTGTTATTACCATTATTGCATTGGTCGCACGACCGTTTCTATTCTTTCTTTTGGGATCTTGCCTTGTGCCATGCACGCTGAGGTACTCCTTTCCTCTTACGATGTACGTTAGATTTAGAGGACGGACAGCTACTGTTCGGAGTAGTACAAGAGCCAGAGGATCATCCGCAGGAAGGCTTTGCAGACGGAGCAGAATAATAAGTCGAAGCTTAGTTACCTCTTTTAGTTAGTTGAAGACCCTAGTTTACTTTTGTAGTACTTTTATTTTCCACCGGATTGTTATATTTTATATTTTTTCAAGCATTTCATTCAGATAGTTTTGTATAAGGGCATGTTTGGCCCATATTTTTATGTCTGGGATGATTTACTGTTGATGATATGTCTATTTCTTATTCTGGGTTGACCTTATATTCTTGCTATTGTGATTGGGGACCTGTGCATTTGCATTGTATTTATTTTCAGACGCTTAGCGTATTGGATTGAGAAAAAAAAGAAAAGAGAAAAAAATAATAGTGTATATTTCTTCTCAATCTAATACGTCACGGGCTTATTCACGTTTCGATTCCCGGGTATTTTGGAAAGCGGGGCGTGATATATATTATATATATATATATATATTATATATATATATATATATATATATATATATATATTATATAATATATATATATAATATATATATAATATATATATATATTATATATATATATATATATATATATATTATATTTATATATAATATATATGATATATATATAGAGAGAGAGAGAGAGAGAGAGAGAAGAGCAAAAGTTGTGTCAACTTAAGTGGATAGTAAAAAGTTGTCCGCCAAACTTTTTTAGCCACTCATATTGCCCTAGGCGATCCTTGCATGATATGAAAAAAGTTTTATTTATATTAATAAAGCGTGTTAGGAAGTTTGGCTGGACATTCAAGTTAAGTTGATAGGATCTTACTACTATATATATATATATATATATATATATATATATTAGTTATATATATATTATACTATTCTAAAAGTCACTACCAATTATCTCTCTAGGCACTCCATCATAAGCTTTTTTTAGATAAATAAAAATTACATATAGACCATTTCTCTTCTCTCTATATATCTCCATCAACCATCTCAAAATATGTATAGGCTATATAGTTGACCTCCTGGGCATAAAACCAAATTTATTTTCAGATATATTTGTCTCCTTTTGTAGTCTTTGCTCAATTACTCTGTCCAAAAGTTTCATAGTATGACTCATAGGTTTTACACCATGATAATTTGAACAATTTCGTATTTCTCCCTTATTCTTGTATATCAGTATTAAAGTATTAATCCTCCACTCATCGGACATCCTCTTTATCTCGATAATCTTATTAAATAATTTAGTTAACCATCCTAAGCCTATATCTCCAAGACATTTCCAAACCTTATAAGGATACTATCTGGTTCTATAGCTCTTTCACTTTTTATTTTCTTTATAGCATTTTTAATCTCAGTAATCCTAATTTTTTGACAATATCTACAGTTTCTACCATTTACTATATGGTCAAGTTTCTATATTGCTCACTTATTTAATTATCATTAAACAATTTATGAAAATAATTCCTCCAACTCTCTTTTATTTTCCTGTCGATTACTAGAACTCTTTGATCTTTAATTTTTATACACCTAATATTATTCAAATCCCTACTTCTAAGCTTATATGCATCTTTCTCTCCCTCCCTAGATTCTAACTTCTTATAGAAATTCTCGTAAGTCTTGTATTTGGTCTCATTAACGACTATTTTTTGCTTCCTTCATCGCTATCTTATATTTCACAAAGTTTTTCTTACTTCTATATTTTTGCCACTCTTTATATAATATTTTCTTCTCTCTAATCACCTATTGCACATCCTCATTCAACCACTAACTCTTCTTTCCATCTAATTTATAACCTTTAGATAATTGATATTACTCCTAAAAGTGTTAAAGACTATTGAATATTTCTCATGTTCCACCAGCCTACCACTACTAAGGTGGTTGATTTCAAAGACTTGTAAGATCTTGGGGCTAAGTCAAAATATCAACATTTGGAGCACTAATTTCAGTATTGAAAGATTTGGGTATTAACATCAGAAAAAAACCACATAATAATCAACAAGATTAGGCTAAATTGCAATTAAATACCATATAGTTTCATCAACTCTTCACTTAAGTGATCCCTAGTTTAAAACCGAGCAAATAAATGCCCATAATATTTAAATATTATAAATAAATGCCCTAAAATTTTACAATATTACACTCTAGTGCCCTCTTGTTTACTTGGAGTCACATGCTACTGCCCTCTTGTTTTGCCAATATTGCATATAAATACTCTTAGTTTGTAAATAGCATTACTTTAACACCCAAAAGTTTCTAAAAGTTACACTTTAGTACCCTACGTTTCTATGATATTCTTGGATACATAGCGGAACGTTAACACCATTTGGGTATTTAACTTTAGGATATTGATATGTGACATTTAAATACTTTAAGGTATTTATTTGCTTGGTTTTAAATAAGAGGTAACTTAAAGTGCAATATTGGTAAACCTATAGGCCATGTAATGACAATTTAGCCATAAAAGAAGAAATTTTCAAAATAGCCCCATTCCTTCAACTTTTTTTTTAAATCGACCTTATTCCAATTTATTTACAAAAATGGACCCACTTTCTAGCCACGTCAGCATCGCGGCGAGAGTGAGTCGATTTTTTTAATCCCGCTCCTAAATAGTCGGGGTTGACAACCCAAACTATTTAGGACGCCGTCAGTTTAGTCAAGCATAAAATGGTCGGGATTGGGAACCCCGGCCATTTCGAAATTGCCTATTCCGAAATGGTCGGGGTTCCCAACCCCGACCATTTTAGAAAAGTTTTCAGCCTCTGATTATTGAAGAATATGGATTAATTAGACCAGGTTTTGTTGTAAATCAAAAGATCATATCAGCTTTTCAACTTATTATATGTAATATCTCCTGTGCATAATGGATAGCACATGCAAGATGACGAAAATTAAAAAAATCGAAATTAAAAAAATCGACCCACTTTCTCGTCACGATGCTGACGTGACTAGAAATTAGGTCGCTTTTTGTAAATAAGTTGGAATAGATCGATTTAAAAAAAAAAAAGGAATGGGGCTCTTTTGAAAATTTCTTCAGCCATAAAATTATAACAATATTAGAGAATTTTAAAGGTACCGAAATTCCCATTATCCTTTTCTTTCCGTTGCCAGGCCTTTTCTTTTTGTTCTTCACTCAGCACCTAACAGGCAACAGACCGCGGCCATGCTAATTTCATTACCAAATCACCCCTTCACAGCTTTAACCGCAAGAAACCCTAATGGCAGATTGCAATGTGATTTCCTGCACCAAATCCCAAAGCTTAGTTCGAGGTCTGGATCCGCTACTATGCAAAAGTTCCCTTTGATCAGAGCTCTGATCACAAACCCAGATGCTTTTGCTGTCGGCAGGCTCGTTGGAAGCTATGGCTTCATGAACATCACCAGGTCCTCCTCCTTTTTCTTACCTTTTTTTCTGATTTTGAAGGAAAATTTTGTGTCTGGCCATTTGAATTTGGATGTTGGTTTTATGGAATCATCATCAAAACTGGATTTTTTCTGGGGTCAGTAATGCAATTTGTAATCCTAGATGCATCATGTTTATAATTGCTTTTTTTAATTGCTAATTTTTTTTATAGATACTGTTTATTCTTTTAGTGCAAAGTGATAGATTCTGTAACCCACAGATGGACAACTGAACTTTGGGCTGTTATCAGCTTTGATGATGATTTTGTATAAATATACACAAGTATAATGTTTGAGATGGAAGTCAATGATCCAGTGACTTGACATGTCACATATTACTAAAGAAGACCTCGTTATTCTCAGTGCAAGACTGGAAGGGGCCGTTTGGTTGTTCATTGTGAACTTGGGTATTTATGACACAATGTGAAAAGTGGTTATCCAGCTCACCACTTTTCACTTGAGTTTCTTATATTGTTTGGATTAAATCCCTTGTGATTCCTAAAATAATGATTATTGCTTGTTTGGATAGTAAGATATAATCTCGGAAAGTGAGTTATGTAGACCCCATTCAAAATGTTCATTTTCTATGGGAAAGATTACCTCCATAAGATAGGAAAAATGATTTTTTTTTAAAAAAGACCGTTTTTGAAACTTTATTAGCAAAATCGACCTTTTGTGGATTTAATTAGAAAAATCGACCTCTTTTGTCGATTTTGCAAAATATAGTTTTTAAAATACACGGGACTAGTAGTCCCATGTAATTAGTGTTGGCTAATCATATGCTAATTAAACTTCAAAAAATACACGAGACTAATTAAACTTCATTAGAGTATATAATTAGGCACCACTAAATACACGGGACTACTAGTCCCGTGTATTTTAAAGCTTCATTTTTGCAAACCTCTTAAGAGGTCGATTTTGCTAATTATATGAAAAATAGGTCGATTTTGCTAATAAAGTTTCAAAAAGGGTCTCCTTTTAAAAATTCTGCTAAAAAAGACTTATTTTCACTTTGGCACACCAAGCTAGTGCTAAAGAAATACTCATGATATTAAAATGACATGGGATTGAAAGTTTGATATATCAAATTGTTAAAACCATTACCTTGGATATTAAAAAACCCAAACATTGCTATTTTACCATAATCAATTGGTTGTGCATGATCTAAAGAAGTAGAATTATTATGATAGGCAAAAAGCACAAGTTTCGGAGCAAGCATGAAGAAAGATAATGCATAACCATGAGCACTTGAGACCTAACTTAAAACGAATTGAATGGGGGAAAAAACTAAAATCAATCATGAAGAAACAAAAGAGGGAAAAGGAAATTGCAATAAAGGTTGGAGAAGACATAGGAGGAAGAAGAAAGAGGCGGAAAGGGTTAATGCTAACAGGTTGGTGGGGATGTTAATTGTTTATTTATTTATTTTTTTCTGAAAATATGTCAGCTTTCAAGCCAAATCCATCTATTTTGGTTGGAATTGAATTTACAGTGACACCTAAGCAACTTGAATGACAAGTAACTTTACCTTTAAATTGGTGAAAACTGACAGGAGGCCCCATAATTTTAGCACTTTTCAGCTTTACCTCCCCAAAAACATGCATCCAAACAGCCCTGAATTTTTCATGCGAGTGGGCATCCACTGTACAGAGTCAGAGCACCTATTGATTCTCAGTGCAACACAGTGTCCCAGCTGATTCTTAAATACATATCAGCAACCAAGACAATTAAAGCTCCACTAATATGTCACTATGTTGTGACAAAACATATATGGAAAGAACATAGATACATTGACATGAGAAGCCCCAAAAGCTCAAGATATGAATATACAATGGAGGCGTGGATACTAAATATTTACAGCAAGTGTCTTTTATTTGTAATGTTCAGTTGTAGGAATGATAACAGTTTGATATTATCAAATAAATTCCGTGGTTGTATAACCTATAGTTAACCAAGAATCACAGTGCTCTATGAATTAATTTGGAATTGAAAATGCATATTATAAACAACTAATAATAATAATAATAATAATCCTTGTAATTCGTGTCTACATGTTTTATATTCTTAATTTTGAATGACATGAGATACATGCATGCATCTGTGAATCTGTCACACATTATAAACTTTAGGATATGCTAGGTGGAGTATTTGTCAGATACCCTCTATATATCAGAGTTTCTAACATCCAAGTATTGGATACACACCTGATACAAATATCCATCTTCTATAAGGTATCAATGCACTATCAGCATATTATTACTAGACATTGATGGAAATAGTTTTCTTGAGAAAAATGCATAATAAGGTCTGAATTAGTGCCAGTTAGTGAGATTTGTCAGTCAGCATGGACTTATCAGGATGGGTCTGCTTTAGTCACGCAAAAAGCGGGCATTAATTTTTGTGCTCCTTTTTGAGAAAAAAGGATATTACATAGTCGGGCTAGGATCCTTCGCGTGGAATTCTGTGTAACTTTCTTCTTGACTTTTTGTTGTTTTATTAACTTCTGTTTGATGGTGCCGGGTGAACTCTTCCTAGTTCTTTCAAAAAATTATAGATAGTACTAGTCGATCTTGGTTATTTTCTTTTAAGTTTTCTACTGCAATTAGAATTTTAAAATTTAAATTAAAAGGTTGCATATCTGATGTATATTTCTTTGCACTATGATGAGCTGCCTCTTCAAACTCTCTGAACTTTATCATGTTTGAACTTCAACTATTTATATAATTTATGAATTGTATATTTCTTTAGCGACAATCTTCCCTAAAAATAAATGGTCTTTTAAATTAGGAATCGAAATGTTTGGCATTGCCTTGGTCTAATCCAACAGATGAAATCGGGCTCCTGCCTAAGTTGCTTAGGTTGTGCCATATTTTCTTAATTCCCCAACTGATTTTCTTTTTCAGCAAATCGGATCAACTAATTTTGTAACTCTAGAGGCTTGTCATCCTTCATTTGCTACTTGTCTAGATAAAAAACCATGTCTTGTAGGGAGTAAGGATATGGAATGGTTATATGTTCCTACAGGATCTTATTCATAGCCATTGATGTTCTTTAGGCACTGAAACTGTGGGTGATTTGGGTAAAGACTGACTTTGATTATCCATTGCTACGAGTCACCGTACGAGCACCCTTGGTCGCGGAGTTACCAAAGGTGGGTTGAGAAGAAGACGATAGAAAACACAAGAACAACTCAATTTGGGGAAGGAAAATACCTTCTCCAGATTGTGAAGAATCAAAGATTACAAAATCTCACCCTCACAATCTCACTAGAATAAAGAACAAACTCTCTATTCTCTCTAAACCCTAATCACTTGATTAGAATTTCTCCTCTCTCTATCTTCTGTTTAGAAACCCTAAACAATCTCTATTTATAGAGTCTACAACGTGGTGACAAAGTGATAAATAACTCAGTCAAAATCCATCAGGAATCCACGTCAAACATGAATCCAAGAGTGCCCAGGAAACCGACCTGGTCGACCGCCCAACTTGGTCCGGTCGACCGGCCAGGGGGTTGGTTTCAAACCCTGCAGGCAGAACTGTTATCGGTCGGCCGACAGGGATGCGTCGGTCGACCGACCAGAGCACAAAACTGCACGCTTGTAGCGTGCACGAATCCGGTCGACTGGCGCACCTCGTGCGGTCGACCGGCCAGAACCTTTTTTTGTCAGCTTCTTGATTTCGTCTGTTTTGTTGCTTCTAACCTCTTTCGCCATCACCAACAGCTTCATCCACGCCTCTATTCTCAAGATACCATGAGAATCGTCTATTCTCAAGCTCCCATGAGGATCGTTAAGCTCCCGAAGCAGAGAAGAAGATACACCCGTATCATACATGTATAGTTTATTCACATGTGTTAAATTGGCGAGAAATATTATAAGTTTTATTAATATGAAAATTATGAAAAGTGATTTCGTAAACTATAAAGTGGTTTTAAAATTAAAAACTTCATTAAAACATCACAGGACATTTTGTCAAATAGTGTAAACAGGCTATCTTATGTTTGGGTGCAGTTTCATGGTTGATTGTATGGATATTTGTAGTTAATTCATACGTTGACTCTCTTTGGTTAACTAGCACAGAAATGTCTATTAGAACATTTGTTCAAATATTGCTTAATACTATTTGACATGGATGTTCAAATATTGCAGCTATTCTTCTTCTCAAGAAGGAGGTCTTTCTAGTGCTGCTACATATGAAAAGTCTCTTGGATACTCATCTGAGGACGCTGAGCGGTTAAGAGTCCAAGCTGTTGGAGAGGGTCAAGTGAAGATCAGGTGCTTTTCATGGCAGCAAATCTACTTGCAATTTCACATACCTTTGTGACTAATATGGTAATATTATCTATTACAGTCTCATTGCAGGCTATATGAAGGAAGAGTAGTCCAAGGTCCGCTAATTGGTACTCGAATCATATTCAAGGTATTTTTTCATGTAACTTTTACTGCAGTCATCAACTTATTTTATCTTTATTAACTCTAGATTCATGAGATGGAAATGTTTATATCTTGTTCGGCTCTGCCTTATTGTATAATGTATGAAAAAATGATGCTCATTGAGATTTATAAGGATAAACTCTTAGGGCTGGTGTCATCGTCTTTTGGCTGGAGAAGTTGAGGTCGAGCGGAATGTATTTTGCAAATAGGGATTATCCTGTTTCACTATTTTCAGCATCTTCGCGATATTCTAGGGGGGGGGAGGGGTGCACACATTGTCCATATCGCTTAACAGATGCAGGAAAAGACGCAACTAATCTGAAACAGAAGTTGGGATTTCAGAACTTGGTAGCTGTGATGTACTTTGCCAACTGCTTTGTCATATCAAGGATTCAAGGTTGTTAAGTGAGTTGCACATCTGAAGGGCTTGGTAGAACCTACCTTCACGAGACTAGCAGTATGAAGGGCTTGGTAGAACCTACCTTCACGAGACTAGCAGTATGTACGGTTCTCTTTTGAGATGTAAAAGAATATCAGATGTCTTCACAACAATGTAGCTGTTTATCCAAAGAAACTGGATCGTGTATTTATCAGCTTTTGACACTTATATGAGAAACCTCATGGGCCAAAGTATAGTGCTATGAGTTTAGCTTTAAACAGTGGCCGACACAAGCTGATTCTGTTTTATAGTGTCAACTCAGTGAAGTGTAAGCGGCCCCTGAATCAAGTCATGACATGAGAAAGTGATGCTTGGCTGTGTGTTCCATTGCCTATTGGTCGATTTGAATGTGGACTACCTGCTGACTCTTTCAAAGCCTAGACTCCTGGGTTTCCATTTATGAAGTTCAGCAGCCCCTCACTTGCTAAGTTGGAAATTTATTTAGTTTGATGCTCTTCCTCCTTATGACCAACGGAGTACAAAAGTGCCTTCAGTCTTCACTTTTGAGAATTTATCTTAGTGTTCATTCGAAATATCATCAGCAAAGAGGCCAAATATTAAATAGCAACTAGCAAGCATTCATATTCCAAATTCAACCGACTTATTGGCGAGAAGGAGATCTTTGAAGGCAAATGTGTTAGTTGCACCTTTCCAAATAGCATGGCTTGCACTTCGTGCAATGATTCTAATAGAAATGAATGTCACAACTCACAAGTTCCTGAGTTGTTACCTGGCTAAGTTCTATTATTCTCCCTTGCAACAGAATATGTCAGTTCATTAATTTTTACTATTTGAAATCTAGGTAGTTGTCTATGGTTCAAAGTTCAAATTTCATCACTTTCTAAAATCTAGGTTGCTGCTTGTATAGGTTTACCCTGGACAACGTGCTGGCGGTGCTGAGGCAGACATGATGGCTGCTAATGAGCTAAATGCCCATGCTTCTCTCCAAGTAAGATAACTGCAACCAAAGCTTCTGCTCTTTCTGAGTTATCTTGTCTATTTCTTGAACTCTCTTGAAATGCCTTAGTACACATTGATTATGCTGTGTTCTCTTAATATGTTAGTCATGCTCGCTCTTGCAGAGTGACAGCAAAAACATTTGTCAAAATCTGCAGATTTTGTTAGGAGGTTTTGAGACAAAAACAGGGGAACAGGTTTGTAACCTCCAGTTTTGAAAGTTGAAATGCTATCAGCCATTTCTAGTGGATGTTAATAAATAAAAATTGCGTTTGCAGTGGCTTGCTTTTCGTAATGATGGGATATATAGTGCAGCGGACTATGCCAAAGTTACAAGTGAATCAATGGCAAAGGAACTTTCTGGAGGAGAACAAAAGCTCTGGAACTTTGACATGAATCGAAAGCTGAAACGCCGAAGATTTTTTGTCATCAAATTGCTCAATGGGGCTATAAGAGGATTGGCATACATGCATGACCGTGATAGGCTGCACCAGAGTCTGGGTCCTGCCTCTGTTGTTCTAAAGTAATATGAATTGTCTTTGAAAATTTGCTGAAATTTTACTTGGTGGTTATCAAAATGCAAGAAAGATTAATTAGTTGATATTGGCAGCACAACAGTGGAACAAGATGTACCTTATTTAGTGCCACGACTCCGAGACTTGGCCTTCTCAGTTGATGTTGGGTATGCTCTTTACCTATTTTCTGCTTTTTTTATTTATTAAATCAGTAACTTTGTGTCTTATAATTATGTCAAAATGTACCAAATTTGTAGTTATTTGTCATCCTTTGAAAAGACCAAAAAAATCATTAACTTTGTGGTAATTTTTAATTTATCCATATTTTGAATGTTTAAGAGATATTCACTGTCTATATAAACAAGATGGTAATTGACGAAGGACCTTTCTTCATTTTATCCTTCATCCTTTTCCACCTGTTTCTTGGTGAGTCCATACTGGGAGGAGAATAAGTGTTATATCTTACATGAAGGTTGTCCTGATATTAATCATTTTTCGCTGTATTTTTGCATCTCAATCCAAAAGTTTTGTTTCCCTTCACAATGAAATTAATCTAAAGGCTCCTGCAGCTTAGCTACAATTATTATTTGGATGAATATTAAAAAAACTGTGGAGGTCCTTAGTTGTCCTTTATGGAGGTCATGCAACATGTTCTTTTGTTTGCTTGGTATCTGTTTACTTATTATCGATCACTGTAAAGTCTTGCTTTTATTTAGCAAATCAGCTCTTTACAGCCGGCTAAGTGGAAAAACTTATAGGCAGCCAAATTGTGGAATATTATTTAAAAAAGTCTTCTTGATGGTCCTGCGAATAAATTTGATTTGGAGCATAGTGAAAATGAATAATATCTAAAACAATTACTTAGACATCAGAAAACTACAGGTATTCATCTCTAGTAGCACATGGTGGGCCACTTTCAGAGGGACTATGGCACCGAGCATTGGCAGCTGGCACATTTACCCCTTTGGAGAAACGAGCTTATGGAATAGCCGATGATATGTAATATATACTGGAACTATTTGACATTTATTTATTATTTGTTTTTTATACCATACCATTGAAACAGTCTGTTGGTTGGTGTACTGCTCATGTTCATATATAATTTATCTGGAATCTCTTTAATAAGCAGATATGAAGCAGGACTTCTTTTTGCATTCTTGGCATTCATTCCATTTTGTGAAGCAGGTGTGATGGATGGCCTCTCATTGCAAGTAAGCAGTGTCTTTTTTTTTTAATTGTGCTCCTCACTGTGATATTTCTTCCTATTTACTGATTTCTTCATATTTATCTGCAGAGACTTTTTGAAAGTACTTTCCAGCTTGACCTTAATGCTGCAAGGGAGTAAGCTTTTTCCCACTGTTAATTCATATTATCACTACCGTGATGTATCTTTATGTTTGACATAGATGCATACAGAACACAGAAGAGCCATTCCCAACCTTTAGTCCCTTTCATATGTTATTCTATCTTTCTAAAGTAGTACTTAATCATATTCATGGATTTCCAAAAATGGGACTGTAATTGATAATATCTCACAAGTACTCATAATCACATTCATGGATTGTCTACTTTCCCAGCGTTCATGCCTAGATGTCAAAAGTGTTGGGACAAACCCGGGGCCAAATAGAGCAAGGTCACAACAATAGTAGAGCAAAAGTAGAGATAAAATGATAGACACACAGATTTACGTGGTTCGGCACTTGATTGCCTATGTCCACGGGCAATGATAGAAGAATTTACTATAAGGAGAAAACTCTGGAGTTACAACCTCTCTTTACAAGGAGATACTCTCTCTCTATTTATTCTCTCTCACTCTTCTATATGAGGAGTTGTTTCTGGGATGAGTTTTTCTTAAGGATTTGGAGCTTATTTATAGTTTTTGGAAAAACACTATGCATAATAAAATATTAATATTTCACTATGCTGTGGGGCCCGTCATATTTGTTTTCTTTTCATTCTTTTCAACATTTGTGTGCTAGTGGATTCATTTGTCAAAGAAACATGAGTGGCTGCCTGACAATCTTCCACTTGAAGATTTGATTGAGTATCAATCATATCTTTACATCATTCTTTCTATCTTGTCATCTTTATGTTGCTTTACGTCTCTGACAGACCACAAGAGGTCATACTGGAGGATAACTTGAAATTAACAGGAAGTGGAGATAAAAAGTCTTCAGAGCCATCAACATCTCAAGGATGCGTTGTCAGCACATCAAACGATGATGAAATTCTATTCAGTGGAGCAACCACTGTTGATGAAGGCAGAAAGAGGTTTGCTGATGTCTGGTTTCTAGATTCAGCAGCCTCCTGACACATGACCTCCCGGAGAGAATGATTTCACAAATATGAACCTATCTCAGGAGCATCTGTATTCATGGGGAATGATCATACATTGGAGATTTTTGGTATAGGCACTATCAAAATCAAAATGTTTGATTGGACAATACGCACCATTCAAGATGTGTGACATGTGAATGACTTGAAGAAGAATCTATTGTCTTTGGATAATTAGATGAGCTCGGGTTCAAGACCCATATAGAAAATGAGATCATGAATATTGTTAGATGGGCGCTTGTGGTAATAAAAGGAGAAAAGATAGTTGCAAATCTATATATGCTCAAGGGAGAAACCTTGCAGGAAGCTGATTCATGTGTGACATTAACCAACCATGGAGAAGAACAAATCATAATGTGGCATCGGAAACTAGGTCACATGTCAGAACGAGGCTTGAAGATTCTCTCCGATCAGAAGTTGCTTTCTGAACTTAATTCGGTAGCTCTTCCATTCTGCGAGCATTGTGTTACAAGTAAGCAGCATCGGCTGAAGTTCAACACATCAAGTTCTAGAAGCAAGGCTATTCTGGAACTGGTTCATTATGATGTATGGCAAGCACCGGTTACATCCTTGGGAGAAGCAAAGTATTTTGTGTCCTTTATTGAGGACTACTCCAAGAAATGTTGGGTGTATCCTAACAAAAGGAAGACGGATGTGTTCTCAGTCTTTAAAGCCTACAAAGCGCGGGTCGAGCTTGAATCTGAGAAAAAGATCAAGTGCTTGAGGTAGATAATAGAGGAGAATACACAGACGGTGAATTCCTAGCATTCTGCAAGCATGAAGGCATCAAAAGACAATTCAGTACGGCTTATACTCAACAAAATGGAGTGGCGGAGCGGATGAACAGAACTCTGTTAGAACGAATAAGAACTATGTTGGCAACTACAAATCTAGATAAAGTCTTTTGGGCGGAAGCAGTAAAAATCGTTTGTTATGTGGTGAATCGATCTCTATCAACTGCAATACAATTGAAGACGCCAATGGAGATCTGGACTGGCAAGCCAACTAAAAATTCTAACTTCCATATATTTGGAAGTCCAGTGTACGTAATGTACAATGCCTAAGAAATTATAAAGCTGGATTCAAAATCCAAAAAATACTTATTCTTGGGGTATGCTGATGGAGTAAAGGGGTATCGCCTGTGGGATCCCACTGCCCACAAAGTTATCATCAGCAGAGATGTTATCTTTATAGAGAATCAACTACAAAATAAAAAAAGAAAGCAGTTCGAGGAAGGACTCAGAGACTGTAACTGTTTAGATAGAAGATAATCTGAATTATTCTGAAGCAACATCGGAGCATGATGTACAAGAACCAGTCGAGTCCGAGGCTCCAGAAGATCGAAGGTCAACTCGTGAGAGAAGACCACCGACTTGACACTCGGAGTATATTACGGAGAGTAATGTTGCATACTGTCTTCTAACAGAAGATGGAGAGCCATTAACTTTTCATGAAGCTATAAATAGCACAGATGCATCTTTGTGGATAGCAGCAATGCAGGAAGAAATTGAAGCTCTCCATAAGAACAAGACTTGGGAACTTGTGTCACTACCACAATGAAGAAAGACCATTGGAAACAAATGAGTCTATAAGATCAAGCGAAATGGCGATGATCAAGTGAAGCGATATCGTGCTAGATTGGTGGTAGAAGGATATGCTCAGAAAGAATGTGTTGATTTTAATGAAATATTTTTTCTTGTAGTTCGACTTACAACAATCCGAATAGTCTTGGCTATGAGCGCTATATTTGACTTACATCTAGAGCAGCTAGATGTGAAAATAACATTTCTTCATGAAGATCTTGAAAAAGAAATTTACATGTTCCAACCAAAAGGTTTTGAAGAAAAAAAAAGAGAGAACTTGGTTTGCAAATTGAACAAATCTCTGTACGGTCTAAAGCATGCGCCGAGGTGTTGGTACAAGAGATTTGATTCATTCATCATGAGCCTTAGATACAACAGACTTAATTCAGACCATTGTGCATATTTCAAGAGGTTTGGTGAAAATAACTTTGTTATTTTATTGCTGCATATTGATGACATGTTGGTTGCAGGTCCCAACAAAGATCGTATCAAAGAATTAAATGCTCAGTTGGCTAGGAAATTTGAAATGAAGGATTTATGATATGCAAACAAGATTCTAGGGATACAAATTTACCGAGACAGAGTTAATAGGAAGATTTGGCTTTCTCAGAAGAACTATTTGAACAAAATCTTGCGGCGTTTTAACATGTAAGATTGTAAGTCAATTTCTACCCCACTTCCTGTTAATTTTAAGTTATCCTCCAGTATGAGTCCTAGCAGTGAAGAAAAGAGGATGGAGATGTCTCGAGTATCGTATGCATCAGCAATGGGAAACTTAATGTTCACTATGATTTGTACAAGATCAGACATTGCATAAGCAGTGAGAGTGGTTAGACGATACATGTCAAATCCTGGTAAAGAGTATTGGAATGTTGTAAAGAGGGTTCTAAGATACATTAAGGGAACCTCAAATGTTGTATTATGTTATGGGGGATCTGATTTTATTGTCAGTGGATATGTTGATTCTGATTATGCAGGTGATCGTGATAATAGTAAAATCCACCACAGGATGTGTTTGCACTTGCTACAGAGCTGTAAGCTGAGTTTCATAATTACAGTCACTTGTGGTTACTTCAACAACAGAAGCAGAATATGTAGCAGCTACACAAGCCAGTAAAGAAGCGATGTGGTTGAAGATGAGCAGAATATGTAGCAGCTACACAAGCCAGTAAAGAAGCGATGTGGTTGAAGATGGTGCTGGAGGAACTTGTATGAACAAAAGAAGATATCTCTTTTTTGTTACAGTCAGAGTGCTTTGCATTTGGCAAGAAATCCAGCCTTTCATTCAAAGACCAAACACATTCGAGTTCAGTACCACTTCGTTTGCGAGAAAGTAGAAGAAGGAACGGTGGATATGCAGAAAATTCACACCAAAAATAACCTAGCAGATTTTTTGACAAAATCAGTTAGTACTAACAAATTTATTTGGTGTTGATCCTCTTGTGGTCTGACAGAGACGTAAAACAACATGAAGATGACAAGATAGAAAGAATGATGTGAAGATATGATTGATACTCAATCAAATCTTCAAGTGGGAGATTGTCAGGTAGCCGCCCATGTTTCTTTGACAAATGAATCCACTAACCCGCAAATGTTAAAAAAGGAAGCAGTTCGAGTAAGGACTCAGAGACTGTAGCTGTTCAGATAGAAGATAATCCGAATTCTTCTGAAGCAACACCGGAGGATAACTTGAAATTAACAGGAAGTGGAGATAAAAAGTCTTCAGAGCCATCAACATCTCAAGGAGGCAAAATCCACGCACAACAAAATTTTCTTAAAAATGAGACTTTACACTCTGAGGATGGCGGAATCTACATCGATGACCGACCATATCAACACCCTAACACACTGTTCTCCCAACTCACAACGTTGGGATATACACTTGGTGCGAATGAACTTGCAGAACTTCTACTTTAGAGTCTACCTGACTCGTATGATCAACTCATCATCAACCTGACAAAAAGTTGGCCAATTGGCCAGGAAATAAACAACAAAGCTGACAACATACAGAAAATTATCTTTATTTATGCTCAATACGGTCCCAGTTAATCTTCATTGGAGCCTGCAAAGTGGTAGAAGTTTCTGTTTGACTGACTTATCTTTTAGTTTTCTTGCTTATAGTAAATTGGCTATTGATCTTTGCTGCATCGAGAAAAATCATGCTAATCCTTGTTAAGCATTCCAAATTTGCAAATGCTTTTTTTCCAGATATTAATTTCAGATCGTAAATATTTACCTTGCTTGAGTTTCTGTTCTTTCCTGCCTGACATTTTAGTACATTGTTTTTTATATACATCAAGCTAGTTTCTTGGTAATGATTAGATCAGTATTTTCAGTTGTATGTCATATCTTATGTTCATTCGAATTAAGACAGTAAACAGGACTGTTGGAGTGAAAGCAACTATGTTTTTCATATTATAGGGAATATTATAGAATTTGCATTTTGAACATGCAATTAAGTTGATTTTTCTTCTTTTTAGATATTGTTTGGCAGATGATCGCTTGTTAGAAGCTGTCAAGTTTCTTGATCTAGGTGATGGTGCTGGTTGGGAGTTACTCCAGGTTCAGTTTCATCCCTCTCTCAAATAATATGACCGGTTGACCACTTTTTATTTATTTATTATCCAGCGGTGATCTTGCTATGTAGTTGCCTATTTTCAAAATCTTCTTATACCATTCACATAAGTGCACATAAATCTAGAGCAACATGAAATGGGGGATTAGGGCACTTTCCATAACTCTGGAAAGTGAGCTTTAACACTATGTTGAAACGACAGCTAAATTTTGGCTTTGAGTGTCGGCAACAACTAATCTCCAAGTGATTAACTAGATCAAGTGTTTCCAAGGAAATTAGTCAATTTCCTTTTGCTTCCTCCTGGTATTGGTTATGGACTTCTTGAATCAATCAATGATAAAGTCGTTCAACAGCGTGCTAGAGGTTTTAGGTTCAAATCCCATTTGGTTCATTAAAAAGTAGGAAAATAGACTCATTGTTATACATTTTTCTGACTTTCCAATGTTTTGTATAGATCTCTGTTTTACCTTCCGATTTCTGTGTAATAGCTACTAGAATTCTTTTCGTCCTGATTGGTTTCCTGCGGAAATTAACTCTAGAACTTACAGGTTCTTCCCATGTTTTTCCAGTATCATTTCCAGTATTTGAACTTCTAAGATCGTGTATCATCAGTGAGGATCCTTATAAACTAGAATCTCCTGATAAACTGATTTTCTTTTTCATGATTTTAAAATTCTAAGCTCACAATTAACTTTTACTTCAAATTACATGGAACATGATAAGTTTGGCTCTGGACTTCATTTCTACTTAACATGATAAAGAAGGAAAAAGATAATACATACCTTTCGGTTAAATGCAGTCCGCATTTACCTAAGGCACACAGAAGATACCTTTCAGTTAAATGCAGTCCGCATTTACCTATGGCACACAAAAGAAAAAGACATGATGAATTTTATTTTTCTTCTGGTTTTCCTAAATATTCTGTTTTCAATAACCCTTTCATAGGCAATGCTGAATCCTGATTATCGTCAGAGGCCGATTGCAGAAGCAGTTTTGAACCATCGTTTCATGACTGGCGCAGTTCTCTGAGGTTATTTGGACCGTGTGAGATCTGTATGGTTGTACCTTTTACTCTTCAGTAGTTCAGTTGATCAAATGAGACATTTGGGCTGTATATATAGAGGGTGTTCACTTATCTAGTCACAGTCTGTTTTCTAATGAATAAGCATTCTGTCTGGGACATCAAGTGCTGATACAGGCTTATCTTTGGTAATATGCATAATTTCCCTTTTCAGATTTTCATTCAAAGGAAGTCTTATATGTATGAGTAAGCTACGATCGTTTGGAATCCAGATCCGTTGAGCTCACTTGTCCACCGTTTGGAATCCAGATCCGGTTTTTAGGAAGATACAAGTGTATGGCTAGTATTTATTCTTCTAGAAACTTCTTACTAATGTATGGCTAGGATTGATTCTTCCACACACTTCCTAGCCCTCTTAAGCAACTATAAATAGGGGTCTTGGGTTCTCATTTGTGTAAGCAAGCAAGAAGTGAGCTTGAGTGTGTAGTGTAGGCTTGTGTGAGTGTCCACCAAAATAAGAGAGTTGTGTGAAAGTGAGGTGTTCTTGCAGAGCAAGTGTTGTACTCTCTAGTGTCATGTCAATAAAAGTTCCCTTTGTGTAGAGAGTTTTATTCTCCAAAAACCAACAATTTGGTATCAGAGCAGGCGATTAGGACGTGTGTTGAGAGTGTGCCAGTCAGTCGGGAACCGTATTCAAGAACGTTGTTCGAGGGTGATCTTTGATGTGCAGAATCCTGGATTGTGAAGCTTATTCGTCTGGGATCAAGCTTACTTGGAACGTGAGAGACAACCAAGTCACGATGTCAGATCAGATCAGCGCTCCTGGCAGTATAGAGAAGCTCAACGAGTATAACTATCGAGATTGGCGGACATGTATTAAGTCCTATCTCAAAGATCAGGACTTATGGGATATCGTTGATGGTGATGACACCTCACCACCAACGGAGAATGCACATGCAATCAAGAAGTAGAATATAAAAGTGGGGAAAGCTTTGTACGTGATTCAGACCACAATAGACAAGAGTCTGCTTTCACGTATTGAAGACGTAGAGACACCCAAACAAGCATGAGACGCGCTTGCTGCCCTCTTCTCAAAGAAAAATGCTGCTAGCCTTCAGCTGCTCGAGAGAGCTCATGAACACATCACAAGGTACGCAGTCTATTAGTGAATATTTTCAAAAAGTTAGAAGCTTGTGACGTGAAATAGAGCAATTAGATGCAACTGCTAAAATTGGTGAAGATAGAATGAGAAGAATTATATGCAATGGTTTAAAACTGGAATACACCGGATTTATCACGGCAATTCAAGGTTGGCCAATTCAACCTTCTCTAAATGAGTTAGAGAATATACTGGCAAACCAAGAAGCTCTCTAAAACAAATTACGGGAGTTTCTTTAAAAAATAATAATGAGGAGGCACTCTTTAGTAGTAAAAGAAGGAGCCAAGGAAATAAGCTCAGTAGCAATAAATATGAAGAAAAGAAGTCTCCAAGGCGACAAGGGAGCTCAAACTAAGGGGAAGCTCAACGTGGTCATGGAAGAGATGATTGACGTGTATGGCGAAGTGATGAGTGCTTCAATTGTGGAAAGAAGGTTCACTTCGCTCGAGATTGCTGGTCGAAGAAAAATGCAGCACAAGGAAACATGGTGACGTCAAAGAGCCATCGAGATGCAGACGATAGATAAGAGGAGTGAGATGTTCAAGCATCATTTGCTACAACAAAGCTTGTTGACTTCACACAGGGAGAGGGGTATCTCGACAAGGGAGACGACCTGGTCGAACCGAATGAGAAGGCACTTGTAGCCATAAACTCACAAGTTGTAGATTACAACAACGATTGGATCGTTGATTCAGCCTGCTCCAACCACATGACAGGCGAGGAGAAACTGCAGATCATGTCCGCATATAAAGGAGGAAGAGTTGTTGTGATCGCTAATAACTCTAAGTTGCCAATTACTCACATCGGTAACACGATAATTGTGCCTCGCTTCAGTCCTAATCAAGTGCAGCTGCAGAATGTCTACCATGTTCCTGGAATGAAAAAGAATCTATTGTCAGTATCTCAATTGACAAGGTCTAACGACTACGTAGTCTTCGGTCCTAAAGATGTAAGGGTGTGTCAGAATTTAAAATACTCCAGTACTCCGATCATGGAAGGTCAAAGACTAGAGTCCATCTATGTAATGTCAGCAGAAGAGGCATACGTGGAGAAGACACGAGAGAATGAGATAGCAGACCTGTGGCACACAAGACTAGGGCATGTTAACTACCACAAGCTAAAGATAATGATGCAACAGTCAATGCTCAAAGGGCTTCCTCATATAGAGATTCATGGAGATACCATTTGTGCTGGATGTCAATATGGTAAGGCACATCAACTACCATATAAGGAGTCTGAATATAGAGCAAAAGAACCGTTGGAGCTGATTCATTCGAATATTTTCGGGCCAGTCAAACAACCATCAATAAGTGGATGTCGCTACATGGTAACCTTCATCGACGACTTCTCCAGGTATGTCTGAGCGGACTTTATGAAAGAAAAGTCCGAGACATTAGAAAAGTTTAAGAAGTTTAAGGAGAAGATAGAAAGTGAAGTTGATAAGAAGATCAAGTGCCTGCGCATCGATAATGGAGGTGAGTACACATCAGGAGAATTCTATGACTACCTCAGAGATTATAAAATTTGATGGCAATTGATTTGCTCGGGGACTCCATTGCAACACGATGTGGTAGAAAGAAAGAATCGGCATCTTGTAGAAACATGTCGAAGCCTAAAACACGCAAAGAATGTGGCTAGTCGCTTCTAGGCAGAATGCATGAAGACGGCGACGTATATTACAAATCGACTACTACAAGCAAGGCTCGGATTTATTTCACCCTTTCAGAAGCTACAGAATCTCAAGCCAGCTGTAAGCCATTTAAAAGTCTTTGGGTGTGTATGCTATCTATTCGTACCGGATCACTTGCGTGCCAAGTTTGATAAGAAGGCATTGCGATGCATCTTCATCGGCTATGACAATGAGAAAAAGGGATGGAAGTGTTGTGATCCTACAATCGATAAATGCTACATTTCACGCAATGTTGTCTTCGATGAAGCATCATCTTGGTGGTCTCAAAGGGTAATACTGCAAGACTCTAAAAATTTAGAAGTCCAGTTACAAGAGAAACTACAGAAGGAAGGACAATAAGATAATAATTCACCATGCCCAGAAGCCCCAGAGCAACATGTCACTCTAGAAGATTTCACACAACCTAGTTCTTCTATAAACTCATGGAGGATAGGAGTACATGAAGCACCTGAGGAACCTCGACCAAGTCAAATGGAAGAAATTGAAGATGAGCCACAACAACTTCGAAGATCAAACAGACAGAAGAAGCCAAATCCCAGGTATGCTAATGCAGCTCTTGCTGAATTAGATAGCTTTAAAGAGCCAACTACCTTTAAAGAAGCAACTAAGAGCGTTGAATGGAGAAAGGCAATGGAAGAAGAGGTAGTAGTTCTATTGTAGAACCAAACATAGGGCTTAGTGCCGAAACCCAAAGATGTGAAGCCCATATCATGTAAATGGGTTTAAAAAGTAAAGACTCGTCCAGATGGGTCTATCGAAAGATATAAAGCTCGACCGATAGCTCGTGGATTCTCACAACAGTATGGACTGGACTATGATTAGACATTTAGTCCAGTAGCTAAAATAACTACAATACGCATCCTTCTAGCCTTGGCAGCAAATAAGTCATGGAAGTTATTGCAGATGGATGTGAAGAATGTCTTTCTACATGGAGATCTAGATCGAGATATATACATAGAGCAACCAGAAGGCTTTGAAAATTGTGAACATTCAAAATATGTCTGTAAGTTGAGAAAAGCTCTTTATGGACTAAAACAAGCTCCACGAGCATGATATGGTAAGATAGCAGAATTTTTGGTGCATAATGGATATGCACTAGCACCAGCAAATTCAAGCATGCTCGTAAAATTTGAAGGGAGACTAGCAATAGTGCTAGTGTACATAGATGATCTTATCATCACTGGAGATGATGAATTAGGAACTCGTCAAATTAGAGAGAATCTAGCGGTACGATTCCAAATGAAAGAACTTGGAGAGCTCAAACACTTTCTTAGGCTTGAGGTAGAACGGATAGAAGAAGGGATATTCTTGCACCAACACAAGTATGCAAAAGATCTCCTGCAGAAATTTGGGATGCTAGAGTGCAAGTCAATCACAACTCCTATGGAGTTAAATGCAAGAATTTGTGCAGAAAAAGGCAAAGAGTTGGAGGATTTGACTACATACAGACAATTGGTAGGTAGTCTAATCTATCTAACTATTAGAGGTCTGACATCTCATTTGGAGTTGGAGTAGCAAGCCGGTTTATGCAAAAGCCGACAAAACCTCATCTAGGAGTAGTTCGACAAATATTGAGGTATGTAAAAGGAGCACTTGACTTTGGAATACTATACAGAAAAGGAGAATCACTGAAAGTCATTGGACATTGCGATGCGGATTTCGCTGGAGATCATGACACTTACTAATCAACAACAGGGTATGTATTCAGTCTTGGATCAAGAGCAGTATCATGGTGTAGCAAAAGGCAATCGACAGTGTCACTTTCAACTACCGAGGCGGAGTACAAAGCAGCAACAATGACAGCCCTAGAGAGCACATGGTTACTGCAACTGTTGAGTAATCTGCATTAGCCAGTCGACTATCCGGTACCTCTCCATTGCGACAACCAATCAGCTATTCGGTTGGTAGAGAATCCAGTTTTTCATGCGAGAACGAAGCACATAGAGATCCATCATCACTACATAAGAGAAAATGTGCTGCAATGAGAAATACAGATGCAACCAATCAAGAATGAAGACCAAGTAGCAAACATTTTCACCAAGAGCTTGAATCATTCTAAGTTTACAGAATTTTGAGAACAACTTGTAATGATCGCAAGAGCGAATAAAGTTGGTGATGAGGGGGAGTGTTAGAATCCATCACCAACTTAGATTGTTCTAGAACAATTTTCTAGAACTTCTTTCTAGTAACATCCTACAAAATATCGACCAAGAAGTTTCTAAGAAGATACAAGTGTATGACTAGTATTTATTCTTCAAGAAACTTCTTACTAATGCAATGTTACATTAAACGCTAGGCGCTCCTAGGCGCCGGACTTGGCGCCCAGCGCTTAGACGCTTAGGCGGGCGCCTAAGCGGTTTCTGGGCGGTTTTTTTCTT